AAAATCTTGAGTTCCTAACCATTCTTCATTGTTGTTGTTTACCAAAGCTTGGGTGAGGGAGGCTCGAGGTTTAAATAGAGCAATGTGGATGTTGGAGGCAGAGAGCCCTGCATTTGTATTCTTGTTTGGATGCTAATTGACCATGTAACTGTGTACTGAGGCTCCATTCCCCCATCTGTAAGATGGGACTAGTACTACCTGTCCAATAAGAGAAGGACATGCCGTTTGCCCATGGAGAAACACAGCTAATATGTACCACTTTACAATCTGCATGCCCTTTCTTCCAGGGAGCTAAGCAAACATGTGGGATTGATGTTTTTAAATATTTTTAAATGAGTTCTACTATGGTTTCTTTTGTGGAGAATTTTAAATCATGGAAGCCTGAAGCCATTGAAAGCAGCACTGTAGGACATTAAAAACAACAACAACAACAAAAAAAACCCCACCTCATTGAAAGAGGATTGTTGCTACATGGGAAGGGTCTTCAGTTCCACAGCATCATCCCTGAAGTTAGCAGAACTTGTGTTGCAGACCTCACTTTTAATGCATCAATGCAGGGAAAACTATTTTTCCTCATTTATTTGTTTGGTGTTGGTGATTGTGAACCCAGGGGCTCTTTACCACTGAGCCACATCCCCAATCCTTTTTATTTTTTGTTTTGAGACAGGGTCTCACTAAGTTGCTTAGGGCCCCACTAAGTTGCTAAGGCTGGCCTTGACCTCATGCTCCTTTTGTCTTAGCCTCCCAATTTGCTAGAATTATAGGCCTGTGCCCCTGGCTACTAGCTTTCCTCATTTCTTGACAAGCACCAATGTCATATTTGATGATTTTTTCCAGGTTGAGTTTCTGCAGCCTGAGTTAATGGGAGCTTTCTATCACTATACCAAATGCCCAAGATAATCAGTTTATATAGAGAGAAAAGTTTTATTTTGGCTCCCAGTTTTCAAGGTCACAATTCAGGGACAGGTGGACCCATTGATTTTAGGCCTCTGGTACCAGTGGCAACTGGCAATGGCAAGAAGTATGTAGTGGAGAAAACTGTTCATTCCCACAACCAGGGAATGAAAAACAGAAGAAGATGAAAGGATCAGATCCCAGAGTCCCTCTTGGAGGACATGCCCCACCCCCCAGGCCTAAAGACCTCCCACTAGGCTCCACCTTCTAAAGGCGCCACCATTTCCCAACAGTGCCACCTGGAGACCACACCATCAACACATGAAACTGGGTACACTTAAGATCCAAACCATGGCAGGGTATCTCCAGGTCTTCTGGGCTCCCTCCCCTCTAGATTGCTGTTTCTTCCCATGAAGCATTAAATACTGGTGGGTATTGTTTTCTGCTAAAACTCTGTGGCTTAATTACCACTTATTTCCCTGCAGCTTTCACTTTACAACAACCTGGGATTTTCTCCAGACTTTGTTTTGTGCACCCTAAGCATTTTCACACTGTCGCTCATGAACTCACATAATTCTTGTGCTCTGTTGTCAGGGGCCAATTTCTTTTATGTGTTTTCCCATGCTCAGTTTTATGACCAGGCTCAGTATAATCCAAATCAAATTGTTAAAAGCTGTAGCCCTCAGTCTACCTATGTGTAAGCATCATTAATAATGAACAATAGTCATTAACAAATGAACAATAATAAACAACTGCCCCTTTGTTTTCTTATTTATTTATTTATTTATTTATTTTGCATTACAGTTCTGCCCCTTTGTTTTCTAGTTAAAAAAAAATTATTGCACTTTGGAAAAATTAAAACACAATTATTGGACTGCTGCTGTTTGCTTTCTGATTCCCTAACAATGTGTGTTACCTAACTAGAGTGGAAATTCAGGTCTGCCTGCTCCCCTGAGGAGAGAGGCCTAGGCCAGGGGAAGTGTTAATGAGGCATTTAAGGTCTGCTGGTTCAGCAACAATGCCCATGGTAAGCCCTTGGGACCACAAGCTCAGCAAATCTGGCTGTATTGTATCTCCCTTCCCCTCCCAGGCGACTTCTCCAGGACATGGACATCTGATTGTTTCTAATTGATTCATTGACCCAGAGAGGCTGCTGCCTGGGCTGTGCAGGCACTGTGAGTGGGTATCTGGCTGTGTGGGCATGCCACCAGGGCTATGTAGAAGTGCTCCATCTTCTCACTGGTGAACTTTCAGTGGCAATCCCCAAAGCATTTTTAAGTAAAGCTAGAATCGAATCGTGACCTTGAACATACTGAGAAGCCAGATCACATCCTTTCTGGTGGTCACTTTGCTCTGTCTACTAGTCTGCTTTTCTGGGTTATGATGTTCCCCTGCAAAAAAAGCTTCTTGAGGCCAAAAACCATTTTATTTAATTATTTATTTTTCTTCTTCTTTTTTTTTTTTGGTGGGGGGCAGGTACCAGTGATTGAACTCAGGAGCACTTGACCACTGAGCCACATCCCCAGCCCTATTTTGTATTTCATTTAGAGACAGGATCTCACTGAGTTGCTTAGTACCTCACTTTTGCTGAAGCTGGCTTTGAACTCATGATCCTCCTTGCCTCAGCCTCTCGAGCAGCTGGGATTACAGGTGTGTGCCACTGCACCCAGCTGATTTTTTTTCTTTCTCTCTCTCTATTCCTCAACCTTGGCCAAACATGCTGCATGTTTCCAAATAAAAAGAGACATGTAGAGCTGGGTGCCATGGTGCACATCTGTAATCCCAGAGATTTAGGAGGCTGAGACAGGAGGATCATAAGCTTGAAGCCAGCTTTAGCAACTTAGCACAACCCTTTCTCAAGGGCTAGGGTTGTGGCTCAGTAGAAGAGCTCTCACCTAGCACAAGCAAGGCCCTGGGTTCAATCCTCAGCACCACATAAAAAAATTAATAAAATAAATGTACTATGTCCAACTACAACTAAAAAAATATTTTCAAAAACCAAAGAAGGAGAACTATTCTTCCAAAAAAATAATAATAATCTGTCTCAAAAAATGAAAAAGGTTGGGAATACAGCTTAGTGAAAAAGTGCCCTTAGATTTAATCTCCAGTACAAATGATGATGATGATGATGATAATTATTATTATATATGTGGTATGGAACCCAGGATCAGTGTGTGGAATTAAGCAGAGTCTCCAGATTATAGCCCCAGAATTGCTCCTCTCTGCAGAGGCAGCCATGTGAGTTTCCTCTGTGCCTCCTGGTAGGGACCAAAGGAAGGAGAGTCTTGTGTCTGAGTGCTAGACCAGTTTTATTTTTACCTTTTTAATGGAAACCTCTCTGATGATATCCTCCCCCTGTTGCTCCACTGAAGGAAGATAAGAATGATCATCAGTAGCAACTAGCAGTTGCAGCAAAGCAACACCAAGAGTTGGCTTCACACTACTTTGATTTTGACATCAATAAAGAGGGTGTTTTGGTTTACCTCTTTAAGAACAGGAAGGGAGGTGTCAGTCTTAATGAAATAGGCCCCTGAGCTGTTGTCTCTGGCCCTCTGCCAATTCCTTTCCCTCTGAGACACTTTGTGGAAGTGCAAGGAGCCCTCATTTGGGGGCAGCATGCAGCTTGGTGGGTGAACAGTGCCTTGATGGAGAACAGGTGCCCTTCCTCAGGTGACCACAGCCCGTCCTGTGGCATGGTGCTGGCAGGCTGAGTCAGCTGGGTTTAGCCTCCTGCCTGTAACCAGCTGTTGCCACACAGCACTTGCCCCACACTCATGGGACCTCATGGAAGGGGAACAGCAGCACCAGCCCCCCTCCTCTAGCCACTAGCACCACAGCACCATGACTTGCATGTCTCCCAGGAATTGTTGAGAGGCAACTTGCTGAGGGGCAGACACCACAGGCCACAGAGGCTAGATGGCAGGATTCCTAGGGTCCCTGCTGAGGTAAGCCCTGGGGTGTCTGGGTAGTAGGGGATGTCTGTCCTGAGTACAGGGAGAGCAGAAGTGCAGAGAGCTGTCATGGGCAGTGGGGTGCCTGGAGAGCCAGCTTCCACAAGTGTGGCCAGTGGGGGCTGGCCCTCCCCAGCCTTGCGCCGAGTGCCCAGCATTCCTTAGAAGGCTCCAGGTTGTTCAGACATATCCCTCCGCCAGAAGAGCTTTCCTCCGCTGGGAGGCTCCCATCCCTCCTCCCGTGGGTGGCTGACCCACCAGCACTTGCCAGAGCTCCTAGCCTCGCCACACCGCCTCTTGCTCACAGTGTGGTCCTAGGCTGCACTTGTGCCTCCTGGTGTGTGTGATTCGTTTTCCCCTCTTAGGGCAAGATCCTCAGGTTCTCACAGGTGTGCACGGAGGTGAGGAAGTTGGTCTGTGGGGCTGGTCCTCAGTGATGGCTTTGAGGCCATCCCTCTCCCAGTGTGTGCTCTCTCTGCTCCATAGGACTCCTAGTCCTGCTGTGTCTGGAGAATTACTGAAGTTTTTGTTTGAACATGCTACGCAGCCTTCCCTTGCCTGCTGTTCATCAACCCTGAGGTCATCAGACCCTCACAGGACCAGAATTAGAATGATGCAAAAGGTGCGGAGGGTGCAGAATTTAAGGAGTTTCTCCTCCAAGGCCTTCAAATACGAGATCAGCCTTTAAAAGGAAGAGCTTCCTAATCTTTGCACACTGGACACCTTGCTTTGCTGCTCCCAGCCCTGAGCACTCAAGTTGCACAGATTAGTTTAGGATCTCACCACTGAGGACCAGGGCAGGAGACCCTGGGGAAATCTCTGAACCTTTTCTCTCTGAACCTCACTTTCCCTCTTCATCCTGAGTAATGAGGATTAAATTTGATGATATTTATAAACCATTTCACCCAACACTTGTCAGATAGTAAATGCTTGGTAGATGTTTGTGACTGCCACTCTTATTATTGGGTAAACTTAAAAGTATCATAAGCAAACTAATCCCAGATGAGCTTTGGACTTGCAGGTCCAACCCTGTGGCAGCAAAGGCCCCACTTGCCCCTCTCTTGATCTTGATCAAGCATGATACCATGCAGACATGCCCAGGAGGTCAGGGCCTCCCAGGTTCTGAAGAGGATGTGTTTTGTGTCTCTGCTGCAGGAATTGCTTACTTAGGAGGTGTGTGCAGTGCTAAGAGGAAATGTGTGCTTGCCGAAGACAATGGTCTCAATTTGGCCTTTACCATCGCTCATGAGCTGGGCCACAAGTAAGTATCAGAAATCTGCTTTCTTTAAATTCCTTTCTGAACACAATATTCTTAACTTGAATTATGGAAATTTTATAACGGTGCTGCTCTGTGCTTTTGCTGCTTCTGCATCAAAGGGCTTAGGCCAGGGTTGGGGTTGTGGCTCAGTAGTAGGGCACTTGCCTAGCATGTGTGAAGCACTGGGTTTGATTCTCAGCACCATATATAAATAAGTAAAATAAGCTCCATTGACAATAAAAAAAAAATATTTTAAAAAAGGGCACTTAGGTTATATTTTCTTTCCACCAGTTTCACAAAATCTAACTTTTTGAATGTAGAGTTTAGAGTCTTAACTTTAAAGAATTAACAGCAACTGCCTTCACATTTGGAAGTTCTTCCCTTTAGGATAAAATAACTCTAGAACCTCAGACCACAGAGATGCCTTAAGGAGAATCTGAGTCAATCTCCTCCTCTTTTCGGAGGAAGAAGGAGAGGGACAGAGGGTTTTGCAGTCACCTGCATGAAGTTTCAGAGGGAGAAAGCCAGAAGACTCTACCACTGTGACCTGCAAGTTTAGCTTAGGTCCTGGAGTGGATGTCTGTTTTATGTTCCTCTGAAAGAAAAACCAATGACTGCATAAGAACTTTTAAAAAAATTAAATTGAGGGGGCCAGAGTATGCAGAACAGTGGGAAAATTTTATATTGGGTTGTATAAAACATAATTAAATGAAAATCTAATTCCTGAGGGAAAAATATTATAAAGGTTTCTAATGAACTACACAAGAAGATGCCTGAGGCCTTAGCTGTTAAGTCTAGCTTTTGCCAAGAGGAACGCTAATGTCTAAGAAGGAGAATAAAAGCAACCGTTTACCTCCAGTGCCAGCTGTATCTATGGCTTTACTTTTTGTTTTGTTTATCTGGTCCCATTTTAATTTTTTTCCACTTCTGTGCAGGGGTTTGATAGTTGGCTTTTCTGGATGGTTGGGCGTCACGGTGTGGGCACAGAGAGTAAAAATAATGCTGTATGGATGTGATGTGTATAACACAGGAACATGTTACGTCCCAGGATTCAGCAAAGCAAGATGAGCACAGTTGTCTCTTAAGTACACCATCACTACATCTTGATACTATTTAAAAAATAATGGCTGACAACACTTTTCCTATCCTACTTTTGAATTAAGTACAATTGCATTTATATTAACACCTCTAACCTGTTAAAAATCTGTGCCCAACAGTGACATACTGGGGGAAAAAAAGAGCATAAATCAAAACAGCTTTGGCAAGCATCTTCTGAGTATCAAAATACCCATCCAGCCCATCAGAGTACCTAGGAATTTGTTCCCTGATTGTTATAAGAATTTAGAGCTGTCGGAACATTTGTCATCATCCAGCTTGTGATGGATCTTTGAATAGTGGCTTTAAAAATCAGACAATGTGAGCTGTTGCTTCATGAGCTGTAACATCCCAAGGCAGCTGGGATGCTGCAGCATGATCCATACTGGAGTGCTGTTTGCACACGTGTGTGGGCACATGTGTGGGCACTCACACTGCATGGAGGTCTTTTCTCCCTGGACTTTGGGAACACAGAGGCCATTTTCTCCTTGACAGCCTGGGATTGTGCTGGATCAAACACTGGCTCATTAGTACAGGAGGTCTGCATAGATGAATGGTTAGATTCAGTTATAATTTAGTACCCTTTAGCTATAGTCCATTTAGAATTTCTTAGWGGACTTTTATAGCTTGCTATTGAACTCTAATTACCTACAAAAACAAACACCGTATTGTTAATCAAAGCCAATAAATCCTGCCAGCATTTGGCCCTTCCCCAGTATGGTGATTATGATTTTCCCAGGGAAGCCTGTTGTCTCTGATTAGTCTCAAGTGTTTGGAAGCAGATTCCTCCACATCCTCCCCATCCACAGGCCACACTCTGGTCATCCTAGCTCAGGACAGCAGGCAAGCCCAGGTGGACTGCTTGAAAAGGTCAAGACCTATACTTCCAGCAAAACCAAGGGCCAAACTTCTCAAATACAAAACTTGAAAACTGGTCCATATTTTGGAATAAAGTGGAGAAATTTTACTCCAGCTTTCCGAACACAGGTTAAGAAAGACTTCAGCCAACTTGCCCACTGGTTCCTCACCTACAATACCCATAGAGCAGAGCATCCCTTCTGATGAATGGGTGTGTACCTTTGCACCTGGGCACACAGACATGTAGCTCTTCTCAGTTACCCAGCATGCCTGGTGTCAGGACCCACATGAGCCACTGCCCTCAGCTCTGAACATCAGGAGGAAAATCCACTTTCCGTGTGAGTTACACATTCCATTTATTAAACGAGGAGTGAGTTGCATAAGTTAACAGGATTTTGTTTCTTTGGCCATCAGACAACATAAAGCTAAATCAAGAGCTCACTTTCAGCAGTTAACACATCTGCATCCTGTAATTGGACTTTCTTTCCTCTTTCTAGTGTCTCTTTGTATGCATAGTTTTAAAATAGTTGAAACATAATTTATTTGGTACTGTAAATTGACTTCCATCCAATTTGCAATCAAATAGGTCTTAAACTATAAATTAAACATTCTTGTCACGGAAATGTCAGTAGTGCTGCTTTGGACTTGAATTAATAATGTACATGTCTAAGTCAAATCAGATCTCTCATTGAGCACCTACTATGTGGCAGGTACTGGGTCCGATGCTCTGCATTCATTATGCTATTYAATCAGCCCTATGAGGTAGGTAGGTATTTAGCTTTTACTTTGTGGGTTAGGAAACTAGCATTGATTGTTTTTTAAATATCAAATTGTATACTTTATTTATTTTTATGTGGTGCTGAGGATCAAACCCCATGCCTCGCACATGCTAGGCAAGTGTTCTACCACACTACCCCAGGTCCTAGCATTGATTTCTATTTTTTAATTATAGTTTCTACTTAGCATGTTTGGAATTTCTAATGTGATAATATATGTGCAAACTACTTTACTTTGAAGTAAAACTCCAAATTACAAGAGTTAAGTAAAAAAAGAGAGAACTTGTTGGATATCTAAAATCCAAGGTGCATCTGTTTAAGGGAAAGAAATGCTGCAGAGTACTTCAGACTAGTTGGCCAAAGAGTGCACATGTGTTGTCGAAGGGGACTCAAGGACTGTAAATGAGTTGGACACCTTTCTGACACTCTGCCCCAATACAAGAGTGGGCTGACGAAGCCTCCAGGCTGCCTGCCGTAGACGGGGGCTGCCGTAGACCAGGGGCTGCAGATCCTGGTGCGGGCTGTTGGCAGAAGCCTGCTCTGTGTTGCTGCCTGGTGCAGGAATTGGCCCTGAGCAGCAGCCAGGCTGACAACAGGTTCAAGGTTGTAAATGAGCATCCATGACCTTGGTTGCTTGCTTGCCCAGGAAAGACTATCCTGGTTGACAGGTACCGGCTACCTTTTGATTGCCCTGGTAAATAGAAATGTTGGCAGTGTAAGTTTGGGGGAGGCCACTGTCGCCCTGTCCTGTCGTGACTGCTTGAAAAACCCACCTGAAACGAATTGTCTTAGGTACTGTACAGTGGCTCCACTCCAAGTTGTACTCATGCAGTCTCTTTTGCATTTCTTCATTTGGAAAGTGACAGCGCCTAGACCTGGAAAGATGGCTACGATGAGCCCCGTGCCCTTCCGAGGGCTTTAGTACCAACTGCTCTTTATTAGGGTGGAATCAATAAAATGACAGCAGTTCCTTGGGAGGTCCATCTGAACCAAGCTTCTTGCTCTCTACCAACCAGACAGGTGCCTTGTAGTGGAGGCCAGAGTTCAAGAAGCTGATCAAGATTTGGTTTTAGAGAGAAAGAGGGAAAATTGGAAGCAAGCATTTGTTTCAGGCCTGTGCTTTTGAGGCTCAATCATAACTGATCTTGGGAAAGATGGTCCCCCAGTGATGGATGGAAGCTCAGGTCTCTGCTGACTGCCAATGAGGAAAAAAAAAAAAAAGATAATCAAGGGATTCCTTCCTATATCAAAATGTCGGTAGTGACTTTAGTATGATCTTCAAACGACTGGATATAATATGTCTGTTGGAATTGCAGAATATATCCATATGAATGTATTCTATGACGTGGATATCATATATAATAGAACATATCCTATGTTCACATGGAGGTAGAGTACATCTTATGATTCAGAAGTTACAGTGTAAAAGAGAACAGATGGTTCTGCAGAAGTTGATAAGAATACTATCCGTGCTGAGGGAAGTGGTGACCTATTGATATAGCACAGTTAGGCCCAGGAGAGGCACATGGCTAGTGAGAGCTCCCCTGGTGCACTTGGAGGCCTGGGAATCAGAGACTCAGCACCTTGTGCATGCAGGATGCTTCTCTATCAAGTAAAGCAGCATGTTCCTGGGAAATGTTGAAAGACAGGACCCTCAAGATAGGTGGTGGGGTTGCCGGGTGGGGTGGGGCAGGGCTTCAATTAATGCATATACACTCGGTGGGGGGGGAAGCCTCTGCAGAAAATAATTCTGCTATACTGAATTTAGGAGGCTTTCTCAGATTCACATAAGCCTGGGCTGGATCAAGGCTGAGGAGATGCCTACTTTGAGGGCCAGTCCAAAGCCTATCATCTCTCTAACCAGCTGAACCTGTAGAGGTCCTGCAGTGACACAGATGCCATACCATCAGCTTCCTTCTGCCTGTCCTGAGGGCAAAGGTTGTGCTTCCTCTTCCTGGGGTACTTCCTGGCATCCCTACACCCTTTCTCGGGTCAAAGAACTGTTCTCTTTCCATTCTAGAATTTACCCCTCCCAGATTGGCAGGCTCAGCAGGTGGTTTATGAATATTCATCTCTTTATAGAAGTTTGGAATTGCCTATGATGACATGAGCTGCAGGAGATGAAGACGTTTAGAAATGCCAATGGCCCTGCCTCACCTGAGAGCCACTAAATCACGGGCTCTGAAGGAGGTGGCTTAGGAAGCCTCTCCAGGAAGTTCCCTGTGTCCTAGATGAAAGCCTCAGCTGATGTGATGTTGAGGGGTCTCATCATTG